CACTAAGTTTTTTTATATATATTTAATTTTTTTATATAATATTTAGCAATTACAATCTATTATTAATTTTTATTAATGCATTGAAATGAGAAAAATACTTAATTCTATATTATTAAGAGCATGTAATTTTTTATGTTAGTAGATTAATCAATTTTTTTACTTACTATTATGAATTTGTTAATAAATAAATGTAATGAATATTTTTACTATCTAATTAAAATAATAATATAATTTTTAAAAAAATTAATAATTATTACAGGCTATTTTAATTTAATAAACTTATTTCATACATATAATTTTTTTTGTAACATCAATATACTTTAAAATTAATAATTTAAAATAATATAATATAAGAATATATATATATTACATCCTATTATATTTAGATTAAAAAAAATTAAATTTAAATAATACTATTTTCTTAAAATAATTTTTTATAAAAATTATTTCTAAAAAAAATCTACTTTCTTTTTTAAAAAACGAATTAGTTTTTATAAAATAAATATTATATTCTAATGTTTATTAAAATTATTACGCTCTATTTTGTTCAAAATTAAATAATAGAATTGTTAAAAATATTACAGTCTATAATTCAAATAAAAATAAAAAGTAAAATTAAAAAATTTATAAATATTTATTTCAACGCACTTTTAAATAAATAAAAAATATAAAAATTTGTGATATTTGTGATATTTGTAATATTTCTTACTATCTTATTTAAGTTAAAAAAAAAATTAACAATTCATATGAATTCTTATAATTATTACAAGTTACTAATTAAATTAAATTCAGAAAATTTAAATAAATAAAATTTTAAATTATAACTCCCTTTTTAAAAGATATATATTTAATTATATTTTTCAAAATTTGTATTTACATCCTATTAATTTTATTATTTATAATAATATTAAAATATAAAATAAAAAAAAATACATCCTAATATATAAATAATTTCAAAAGAAATAGTATATATTAAATATATATTTCTTCATACAGCCTTATTTAAAAATATTTGTATTAAACATTAATTAATAAAAGAATATTCTTACATTCTTTTTTTGGATTAAGTATTGCAATTAATTTAATATTTTATATTTACATACTTTTTTTTAAAAATAAAAAAATAAAATAATTAATATAATTTACTGTCTGTATCATATTAATAATAAATTTATTTTAAAAAATCAAATAATAAAGTTGACCCCCTTATTATGGATAATATATATCTATTGTAAAACTAATAATAATCTAAATTTACCTACTGAATTGAATTTTTAAAATAAAAAAGTAATATATTTTATAATACAGCCTATAAATGATAAACATAATAAATTTAAAAAGTTAATTAAGTTTCTTACTAACTATTTATAAAAGTTATAAAAATTTTAAAATTAAAAAATATTACATGCTAATTTTTTATTAAAAAAAGTAAACTATAAAACTATTGTATTTTATAATATTTACCGTCTATATTTATAAAAATGATTTATAATTAAAATATAAAAGATCATAAATATATTAGAAAAATATTTTTATAAATTTTACAAACTTCAATTAAAAAATTATTTTGAAAATAGTAAATGAATTATTACACACTTTATTTATTTTATTTTTAAATACACTATAATATTTATTTACATCCTTATTTATAAATAATAAATAATTATTATATAATATTATTAATCTTACACGCTTTGTTTATTCATTATTTTTTTATAAAATATAAAAATTTATACGCACTATTTTTTAAAAAAATATAAATTATTTTTTTATTAATAAATACTTCCTTTTAATTTATTTAAATCAATTAGGCAAAAATTTTAATTTTACCAACTATTAATAATTACTAAATAATAATATGTATCATATTTACAGACTAGATATAAAAAAAATATTATATTTTTTATAAAATTAATTTTACACACTATTTAATAAATTGTAAATTTATTTATAAAATATTATTTTACAGGCTTTTTTAAATTATTTAAGTAAATGATTATTCAAATTTTTTTACATTTCTCTTTTTAATTATCAATAAATTATATTTTAAATAATTTTTTTTTGAGTACATCATCATTCTTAAATTAATTTAAAAAAATAAAATAAAAATTTAATTAATTTTTTTAGAGTACATCTTCTTTCTTAAATTAATTTAAAAAAATAAAAATTTGATTTTTAATCAAATTTATGTTAGTATATTTATTAGATAAAAAGAAAAGTTTAAAGAAAAAAATCAATTAAAAATAATTTAAATATAAATTTTAAGGTATTTTACACTTATCTATTAAAATTAAATTTAACAATTTAATTATATGTTTTACTAATGACTTTATTTATTTTAAAAAATCATATAAGTGTGAATATTAAATTTATTTTAAAAAAAAGTATTAATAAAGCTTACAGACTATTTTTGTATTTGTTTTAAAAAGTTTTATAAACAAATATTTATTTCATACACACTAAAAAAATTTTTATTCAAATTATAGTTATAAGAAAAAAAATAATTACATTCTAAATATAAAATTTTATTAAAATAAATTATAAATTTTTTTACTTTCTAAAGAAAACAGAAATAAAATGTAAAAATATAATAATAAAGTACGCACTGCAAAATATATAAAAAAAATATTAATAAAAAATAAAAATATATTATTACTGTCTATTTTAAAATTAAAATAAGAAAATCATGAAATTACTTTCTATTAAAATGAATAATAATATAATATAATATATTTATATTACCAATATCTAAAATTATTAATTTTTTTTTAAATATTTAATTTAATAAAAAAAAGTACTTCCTAATTATTAGTAAATAAAATTTAAGTTTTTTTAAAGATTTAATAATTTTAAAAATACTGGATCCTAATAAATAGTAAATAATAAGTCAAAAGATGTAAAAAACTAATAAAATGAATGATTAATTTTCATAAAGTTTTAAATAAAAATTTATATTTATTAATATATTTAAAAAAAAAAATTACATAACCTATAAATAAAAAAATTAATTTAAAAAAATATATAAAGTTACTTTTTTTAAATGATATAATTATAAAAAAAATATGAAAATAAAGATATCAATATTTATTTAACTAACCCTTAATCTGTTTATATTTAAATATAATTTGATATTTTTGATATTATTATATATTTACTTTCTAAAATGAATAAATAAATAACTATTGATTTTTAAATAATTACACACTTAATATAAAAAAAAATGTTAAATTATAAGCAATATTTTATTTAATATTACTTCCTGTTTTTTTTTTTTGAAAAAAAACTAAAATTCTATTTTATTTTTAATATTACATTCTATTTTTAATAAATTTATGATAAATTATAAATATAAATACATTTTATTTAAAATTACAAACTTTTTTTTAATGAAAATTAATAAAATTAAAATAAATATACTATTTAAATAAATAATACATCCTTATTTTAATAAAAAATTGATATAGTAAAATATAAATCATATTCTATTTAAATACTATTTCCCCCTTTTGTTAAGTATGTTATTTTAAAAAATACTATTATTTTATATTACTTTCAATTTTATCTAAAAAATGAATTAATTGTAAATTCATTAATAACAAATTATTTAAATATTACATACTATTTTCAATAAAAGATAAATAATTTAAACTAAAAATGCATTATATTAAATATTACAAAATCCTTTTTATATAAACATAATAACTTATAGATATAAATATATTTTATTTAATAATACACCCTATTTAAAATCAATTGATAAATTTAAACAGAATAAATTTTTTTAATTAATTAATAATTTATCCTAATTTTGAAAATTGATATATTTTAAACAAAAATCTTATTAAATATAATTATTACAGTTTTCTATTATATTTTAAATTAAAAAAATTTACACTAAAATAATATTAATTTTAATAATACTTGCATATTCATAACAAAAAATTAATATATTTTAATAAAAATATTAATGCAATCATTTTTAATAAAAAAATTATTAATTTAATTAATATTACAGACTATTTTTCATAAAAATTAAAAAGTTAAAATAAATATGAATACGAATTTAACAATACTAACTATTAAATATAAATTTAAAAAAATTATTTAAAAATAAATTTATTATATTATAATTACAAGCTATTTTTAATAAAATATAAAAAATTTAGAATGATAATATTATTATTACAAACTATTTTTTTAAATTCAAAAATTAATTTAATTGAACTTAATATTCTATTTTTAATATTACATACTATTTTTGTAAAAAAAATAGTTATGCTTATATTAAAATGCTATTAAAAGAAATATTACGTGCTATTTTCAATAAAAATTGTTAAATATTATAACAAAAAGTACTATTTTATTTATTATTACTATCTATTTTTAATAAATAAATAATATATATATTTAAATTAGTAAATGCTATTTTTATAATTACCCCCTATTTTTAAATAAAAAATTTATAAAATAATAATTTAAAATAAACTTTATTTTATATTACATTCTATTTTAAATAAAAGTTTTATAAATTTTAACAAAAATAATATTTTATTAAATATTACTTCCTATTTACAAAATTAAAAATTTAATTGTAATTTATAATTATATAATTTTTATTACAATTCCCTATGTTTATTAAATAGTTTTTAAATTAATTTAAAATTGTTATTTTATTTAATATTATTACAAACTATTT